TAGGGGTGCTCATAGTTCAGTTAACTGAACCGTGGGGCATTTTTTTGGACCGAACCGGTAGTACCAGAACTGAACCAAAACTAGTCGGTTAACCAGTTTGGTTCACCGGTTTTTCGGTTTTTTTGTTTTAACAATATATATTATAAAAATATATATAAATATATAATAAAAAATTATAAATATATAATATTATATTTTAAATAATAAATAATAATATATTATATTATAAATATATAATTATATCTATAATACATATTTATTAATTTACAATATATAAAAATATAATATATATATTATATAATATACATAAATATATATAATATATAGAAATACATGTATACCAGTCGATTCGGTTAACCACCGGTTTTTTATATTGGTTAACCAAAACCAAACCGGTACCTTCGGTTTTTTAAAAACACCAAACCAAAACCGAACTGACCAGTCCGGTTAACCAATTTTCCGATTCGATTTTGGTCGGTTCGGTTTTTCGGTCTTTTTTGCTCACCCCTAGCGGCATTAGCCATTTATTTATTCTATTTTTATCACATATATTCTTATTATCATTATTTTTATTTATTGTTTTTTATTGTAGTAGAAAGGTGCTGAAATAAAAATCTGTAAAAGAAAAGAGTTAAAGAATATTTCTTGAAGAAGAAGAGAAGAAAGGAGAGAAGGAAGAGAAGAGATTTGAGAGAGAGAAAAGAGAGCAATGATGCTGGCCACCCTCTTAAATATTATTTATAGTCTAAAATAATAAAGAGTACAAAGACAAATATGCCCTTATAGGGTGGCTAACACATAAAACAATTAAAATAACTGCTCAAAAAGGACCCAACAAGAGTGCTATGGTCCCCACTTCCTATCTAAACAATAAATAATCAAAAACTACCACTATAGACTACACAATTTGTCCAACTAACTCACAACACTAGCAACATAGGAGATGCATGGATGGGTCATACATAAATATAGTAGCCAACCTACCATCCTCTGATATCTTCCCACATCCTTAACCAATTCACCATCCAAAGCATCAATTCTATGATTGGGGTCAATAGGAGTATCAGCTGGTTTAGTTCCTAGCTTCCTAGTCTCCTGTAGTAAGTCCAACACATACTTCCTTTGAGAGACGAAAATCCCATACTTGGATCTTGCAACCTCAATCCCYAGAAAGTATTTCAATTCACCTAGATCCTTGATCTCAAACTCTTGTTGTAGTGACTTCTTGAGTGCATCAATCTCTTTTAGATCATTTCTTGTAACAACTATACCATCTACATATACAACCAATACTGACAAGTGTCTCTCTCCTTTTTACAAAGAGAGTATGGTCGGGTTGAGTCTGTGTGTACCGAAAACGGATAAGTGCTCCTCTGAACCTGTCAAACCATGTCCTAGGTGACTGTTTCAAGCCATATAGTGACTGTTGATAAGGACCCCATACATCAGTATGAACAATATCAAAAGCAAAGGAATTTCTTTTATTACTTGGTTTAAAAGAATGTCTACAATGTTTTCCCAACTAACGGCTTTAACATTCCAAACTACACAACTGAACAAACTCAAACAACTTTTGAAACAGAACTTCAATGAAATGAAAGAAAGATGACCCAAATGATTATGCCAATGTATAATTTGACTCATGACTCTGATCCACTACTACTATTGCTACTAACATGATGGCTCTAATGTCTCGGATTCTCATCCAAAAGGTAGACTCCGTTCGCATCACGACCACTCCCAATCATCCTTTTTTATTCCAGATCCTGTAAAACACAATTACCAAGAAGAAAGGTCACTAAGCAGTTCAATTTTTTTGTCAAAAAGCTTACTGAAAGAAGATTAGTGTGGAGTTTAGGGACATATAAGACARATGATAAAGTAATGTCATTAGTCACTCTAATTGTCCCTTTCCCAGCAATGGGAATATGCAAACCATCTGCTGTAGAGACTATCTCTACCAGAGCACAACTGGTAAAAACTAAAGATGGTAGATATAGGTCATGTGCTCAGATGCTCCTGAGTCCATAATCTAGGGAGGTCCCACCTTACCTGAGGTGGATGCATGATTTGCAACTGCATATGAACTACCAGTATGAGCAAAGGAAGTAGTATGGTTGGCTCTTGCACTGTTCTGCCCATTTGAAGAACTAGAACTGGTTAAATCCTTCTTACTCATAAGTTGTCCATACTTTTCCAATTCAATCCTCACTGTTGCTGTTGCAATGGACTCCAAATCAGCCTAGGAGAGGGGTCCTAAAGGGTCTCCTGTAGTTGCCACATTTGCATTTCCCTTCTTGTTCTTGATTTGAGCTGGTA